GTAGCTTAAGTTTATTCATATCTTAAAGCTCAGTACTGTGCTTATATCATATAAGTATATTAGCTAACAAACTCGAAAGAGTTTTTTGCTATCATATACTTAGCTTAAGTTTCATCATATCTTAAGCATTATGGTTACATTATAAATGTAATAGCTAACAAACTCTACGGAGTTATTTTGGCTATTTAGGTAGCTTAAGTTAATTATATCTTAAGCACAGTACTATAATCATACTATATATATGCCTACAACTCTTAGGAGTTCTACTATTATATATATGTTCAGCTTAAGTTTCAATCCTTAAGCTTAACCTTAATATGTTCATTTCATAACATGTATTAGTTAACAAACTCTCAGTAGTTGGTTACTATTATACAGCTTAAAGTATCATTATACCTTAAGCACAATTCTGTTATAACTTACATATATGCATATTGTAAGCTTACTACTTTGGTTCTTATAAAAGTATTCATTATAAACTATCAACAGTTTATACTATCACATTAATAGCTTTAGCTTAATTAATGTTCTATATACTTTTATTATATTCAATACATTGTAATAACTTTCTTATAAGGCAGCTGGTATTAACAGCAGGAATTCAGTTCAGTGCCTTCATGAAGTTCCCTTAGGGTTATTACAATTATCTCAGTTCAAATCACTAATTAGTAAAATCCAAAGTATATATAATCCCACCTCCTATTCCGTAGGATTCTACAAGCAAATAAACATGAGTCAGGATAAGGTAAAATATGAAATTTTTAGAGTAAAATTAATATTTTTATACTTATCCTGACTCATGAGGTAAGCCCTCCCGTCCTCCCCACTTAACACTTTGGATTTCCCTGGAATTCAGGTGTTGGGCTCAGTATATGAGGAGAGAGTGAGGCACATGGGTTCAGGTGGCGCCCTCGTTCGCGCGCTTGTGGAAGGGAGGTTACTCGTGGTCAGTACTAATGAGTGATTTTTTATTGAAGGGAACTTCAATTGGGAGATACAAGTGTTCCACTAGGTTCGCCAGAAGAAGAAGACAAGCAAATAAACATGAGTCAGGATAAGTATAAAAATATTAATTTTACTCTAAAAATTTCATATTTTCGCGTGGTGCAATTTTCGCGGAATTGACAGTTTAGACTACATCGCGCGGTCAATTATTCGCGCAATCAGTAATTGCTGGAACTGCCAGCTGTCTCTTTGGCTGCCACTAATAGCAGTGAAAACAAACAGAGTGGCTTAACCTGTCAGGCGGCGTTTATTGCATACTCACAGGACATCCCTATCTGTGCGATATACTAGTACACACTAAGAGAAGTACACACGGAAGAGATGAAAAACACATCAGTCTTATGTTCTGAATTCTGACGATCTGACGAATTAACTTCTACTGTATATGAAACTCTTTGTGATTTCAAACAAGCCGGGTTGTTGTGAATGAGATGATTGAGTGTTAAGTGACTATTCGCTTCATTTTGTACTGGTAAATAAAATCTTAATGAATAAATAAAATACTGCTGTATTATTTCTTTCCGAAGTCATTTCATGGTATTCTGTTTTGTATCAAACCATCTGTCATGTGACCAATTTCCATGGCGCCACAACACATTGCTGTTTTCGCCAATTCGCCATGGGATTTGGCTCATTATTTAATTATGTTTTGGGAAATACATTACAGCGACTGTTAAGTATGATTCTTTATGCTACTATCAGTCGTCATTTTAAGATTCCCGTAGATTTCTGTCTTCAAACTTGATGTGATATGGTAACAACTCAGGGGCGAGCGTGGCTAGACTGAATGAATGACAGATTTATTCGCGGTGTATAAATTTTCGCGCTAAAATGTTTTGCGCGAAAATAAAACCTGCGCGAAATATAATACGTTTACAGTATCTGGACGACGGCATACAGTTTCTTCAAAGTGCCAATCAACTCAGACAGCAGCTGAACTTCACAATTAAGTTGCTCACGCAACTAGGATGGCTAGTGAACCTGATGAAGTTGGAGAATCAAACAAGATCTTCAATTGCTGGGAATAAGAATTATCACAACACAGAATCGAATTGTGGTCCCAGAAGATCATTGGGTCAAGATACAAGTCATGATTCCACAAGCAGTCATCTCTCCGTTAACACTACGAACATGGCAATGTCTACTCGGTCTACTAACTTCGGCGCAGGACTTGACTCGCACAAAACATCTGGACAGCGTCAACCCTATCTTGCTGCCAGACAATCTTAAGAGGTACCTACTTTGGTGGACCCACAGGTCGAACGTCTGCGGAGGCACCTATTTACAAGAGCCGGCCTTCGACACACATCTCCACGTAGACGCATCGATACAAGGTTGGGGTGCACATCTCAACAATCAAGTTGCATCAGGGAAGTGGTCCAAAACAGAGCAGCATCTTCACATCAATCTGCTGGGGATGAAAGCCGTGATCAACGCCTTACAAGTATTGCCGGCTCGCTGAACAACAGAATGCTGATGGTCCACATGGACAACTCTACAGTGGCATTCTCCATAAATCGGCAAGGATCTACAAGATCACAAGCCTACTACAGCTCACATTCCAGTTGTCTGACATCACGGAGGAGGCAAACATCTGGATAAAGGCATGTCACATATGCGGAGCCAAGAATGTGCTTGCAGACGCTCTCTCCCGACCACTGCACCCGTCACCTACGGAATGGATGCTCCATCCAGAATCATTTCAGCTCATCATAAAGGAAATAGGATCCCCATGCATAGACCTGTTTGCCATGAGGTTCAACAAACAACTACAGACATTTGTTTCACCAGTTCCAGATCCTCAAGCCTGGGCAACAGATGCACTGAGCATATCATGGGAAGGACTAAATGCTTATGCGTTTCCACCACTGATATTACTACCGAAAGTACTGTTGAAGATCAAACAGACACAGGCGCTACAACTGACCTTGGTCGCGCCATACTGGCCACAGAGAGTATAGTTCCTAGACCTAATAGAAGATCTCGGAAGTCCAACAATCAAGTTACCAGATTGGCCAAACCTACTCATACATCCGCACACCAAGCAAGTCCACAGGAACACAACACTGTTCCAGCTACACATGTGGACCGTATCAAAACATGTTTGAAGAAAAGAGGATACGCAGATCTACTCGTAACCTGTATGATGACAAGTGGCAGAAGTTTCAGATGTATAGGCTTCATTGCTATGAAAGCTACTTATCCTCAAGTGGCGGAATACCTGTGTCATCTTAGACAGACTAGACATCTGAAAGGTTCGGCATTATCTACATACCTTGCTGCCATCAGTACAGTGATTACTATGAAAACAGGCATCAAGTTGACGAAAGTACCAATATTACTTGCTCTCCTGAGATCTTTTAAACTGGAGGACCAGCAAAAGAAGTTCAGAGCTCCGTCCTTGGATCTGAATGTAATTCTACGTCATCTTACAAGTGATGCCTACGAACCTCTAGATCAGACTACCTTCGAGCTGCTGACACAGAAGACTCTGTTCCTGCTTGCGCTAGCCACGGCAGCTCGGATATTAGAGATACATACGCTGGACTTTGGTCGAACCAGATTCGACACGGGGCAACATGCTGCAGTTCATGTAGGACTTAGATGGGACTTCATTGCCAAGAACCAACTACCTGGTCAGCCAGATAGACAGTTCCACGTACGAGTGCTATCTACAATCCTCGGACCAGAGGATATAGAGGACCTATCCTTGTGTCCGGTCAGAGCCCTGGAGATATATGTTCAAAAGACTAAGACAAGGAGACGAAAATTCAAGCGCCTGTTCATCCCATTATCCATAGAGACATCAGCAGAAGTCTCAAGAATGACGATATCGTTCTGGATGAGAGCCTATAAAGCAGCAGGACTAGAACCTCCTAGAGCTTCCAACCCACACAAAGTCAGAGCGTTGGCGTCAACACTAGCTCTGCATGGAAATTGATCTATATTAACAATTATGGAGGGCTGTTATGGGAAGTCGGACTCAGTGTTTGCCAACCACTACCTCCGAGACATAGCCACTGAAGACGTCTCAGGCATTCACCAATTTGGGCCTCTTGTTGTAGCACAGCAACTAACGGTTTCTCAAAGGCGCTGGGTTGGAAAATCTCACCCTTTATCACGTTGACTTGTTGATAACTTTTACTAAGGAAAAGTATTAGTTTGGAAGTCCATGCACACAGTCTAGGACAGACTAGCATGAGTGATTGAAGATCCTGTACGGGTAAAGATCTTACCTGTACGTGAAGGGGTCTCAACTCATTTATGATAAAGATCTTATCATAATCTATGGGTTGTTATAAGATATCTAGTAATAAGAAGATACTAGTTTATCTGAAGCCACATGAATCAACATGATTCATCCTGTCTGAGATTGAGGTAAGACAAGAAAGTGGTCCCCCCGAGTTATAACGGAAGTTGGAAGAATAGGACCACGGAAATGCCGTTTTGCAGTTCCCAATGGGGGGGATACAGGACGTATCTAAGGACAGCTGATGAATCCACGGAGTGGCTTGACCCACCACCAATCCGTCGGATTCTATAAGCAAAAGATCATGAGTCAGGATAAGAAAAAATATGTAATTTTTCAAGTAAAATTGATATTTTTATACTTATCCTGACTCATGACGAGAAGCCCTCCCAACCTCCCCGCTGGAAACACCTCGGATTTCACATCAGATCCAAGTGCATGGGCAGAAAAATCAGGAGAGAGTGACAAGTAAGGCTGGTCACATGACTTTTTAAGCAGGAAAGGGCAAAGGGAGGTAACTCGTAGGTGGGTGTATTTTTACGTCCGCTTCGGGAACTTCAAGGGATTCAAGTGTTCCACTACCATTCGCAAGGGAAAGGGAGAAAAGCAAAAGATCATGAGTCAGGATAAGTATGAAAATCTCAATTTTACTTGAAAAATTACATTTTTTAGTTTGGTGTTTGTCAGTTGACCTGATATCATATGAGTAGAGGTTGAGTATTAACTATGTTCAATGTTTGGTCAGATCTCGGCTCTGCTCAACTGGTTGGTGCGGATGACGGCAGAGGTGGAGATGAACATGAATGCTGTTGAGAGGATAAGGGAATACACACTGCTTACATCAGAGTTCCAGAAACACAAGGATGGTCAGTCATTCTTACCATACAATTGGTCTGTCATGATACATTTCTTTTTGTGTTGAAACAAAGACCCCATTGTATTCTTGCTAATTTTAAACTAAACAACATAGATTAAACATGTGTGTTGAAAAATCAACTGTAGTGTAATAGTACAGTGTGATATACAAATTTAACTAGTTTCTACAGTAGACAGAAAAACACTGGACTACGGACGTAGTAACAGGCAATGGGTTATTTCCACCCCAGGTAATAGGCGTGGTTCTTACACTACAATTTAACCCAGACTATTCAGTAGACTGTTCATAGACAGAGCAGGTGAAGGATGACTGACCAGATGTTCACGGTCTGACCAGGTGTTCATAGACAGAGCAGGTGAAGGCTGACTGACCAAATGTTCACGGTCTGACCAGGTGTTCATAGACAGAGCAGGTGAAGGCTGACTGACCAGATGTTCACGGTCTGGCCAGGTGTTCATAGACAGAGATGGTGAAGGCTGACTGACCAGATGTTCACAGTCCGACCAGGTGTTCATAGACAGAGCAGGTGAAGGCTGACTGACCAGATGTTCACGGTCTGACCAGGTGTTCATAGACAGAGCAGGTGTCCATAGACAGAGCAGGTGAAGGCTGACTGACCAGATGTTCACGGTCTGGCCAGGTGTTCATGGAGGACCAGTTATGATCAGACTTCCCACATGTATCTTGACCAACCAGGTGTTCAGACTGCTGGATGTTTCTCAGGTCACAGGTTCACAGTCTGACCAGGTGTTCATGGAGGACCAGGTGTTCTCAGACTGACCAGATGTTCACAGACTGATCAAGTGTTTTCAGACTGACGAGTTGCATCCAGACTGACCAGGTCTTCACAGTCTGACCAGGTGTTTACAGCCCGACCAACTGTTCACAGACTGACGAAGTGCTCATAGGCCAACCAGGTGTTCACAAACTAATCAGATTACCTAGACTAACCAGGTGTTCACATTATTTCAGGTAATATCCAGGTGTCTGAGTCATGGCCCGAACAGGGTGCGGTTGAGTTTGACGAGGTCAGTTTGAGGTATGACAGTCACCTTGATGACGTTGTCAGTGATGTCACATTCTCCATCAAAGCTGGAGAAAAGGTAAGGAACTTTATTGTTGTATATCCTATCAAAGTTATTAGTTTTTGCTTCCCGGAATGAACGTTAATACTTATATTAATATCTCCAAGTCACAAAGCCTTTGATTTCAATATGAGGTATGCATGATCCCATACCTTTCTTCTTTAATACCCGTGAAAACCTGGGTTAAAATTGCTTTTCAACAACCCATGCGATTCGATTGGGTAGTCAGGCTTGGTGACTTGGTGGACACATGTCCTCGCATTCCGTTAATGTAAATTGATGATCATGCTGTTGATCACCTGATTATCAGGTCCGGGCATACAGTCGGAATATTGCATTAAACAACAAACAAAATGTGTTCACTGTTTACCTTGACTGACTCTCATGTGTGGTTCTCTTGTAGATCGGGATCTGTGGTCGAACGGGCAGTGGCAAGACATCCCTCAGTCTGGCACTCTTCCGTATGCTGGAACTATCATCAGGGGAGATAACTATTGATGGTCACAATATTGCCCGTGTTGACCTTGCTGTATTGAGGTCAAGGCTGTCTATCATTCCTCAGGACCCTGTTTTGTTTAATGGCTCAGTGAGGTGAGTCTGATAACTTGTCAAGTCAGTTATGTAGCATGTGTATGATAAAATGTACTACGTTTCATGAAAATAAGTAGCGATTTATTGTGCAAGCATGTGTGTCCTTCTGATTTTACAGACCGCCTCCGTGGTGTAGTGGTTAGAGCGTCCGCCCGAGAGCGGAAGGTCGCGGGTTCGATCCCCGACCGCGTCATACCAAAAGACGTTAAAATATGGTACTTGTTGGTCCCTGCCTGGCGCTCGGCATTAATGGGTACAACAAGGACTGGTCGGCTCGAAGTCAGTATAATGTGTCTGAGTGGGATAATCATGCTTCACTGCGGCATGGTATCTCAGTGGGCTAGCACTATAAAACCAGCTTCAGTCTGGGCTAGTACAAGCAGCCGCACATACACATACACATGCATGCACGTCGTCATATGAGCGAAATATTCTCAAGCACGACGTTAAACCCAATTTCACCTCACCTTCTGATTTTACTAAATCACAATTCTTGTATTTGACTAGTACATGCAGCCATACACACATGCCAGAATGTCCTAGAACTGAATGTAACCATGTTTGACCTCTTACTCCTGACCCTAGGTTCAACCTTGACCCAAGTGGGGTGAAGTCTGATGAGTCTCTGTGGGCAGCACTGGACACAGTACACCTTCGGGAAACAGTAGCAGGACTTCCAGGAACTCTTGGTAAACAATTCCACATGTCGAATATTGTTCTTGGGTTGAACACTAAAATATTGAAATACAGTTGATTATGAACTTTAGTATTACACATTTCCATTTGATACATCTACATTCAGCCATTTCACAGAAGAGTGAGTGAGTGAGTGATTATCAATACATTGATACTCTACATATTTATCAATTAGTAATGTCTGGCAATAATCTTTCAGAACTGTATATTTTGTATTAAAACATGTTTCTGCAAAAGATATAATTTATAGAAATAAAGAATAAAAGCAGGGAATGAAACTCCCCAAAATTTTGTACCAAATCACAGGCATAGGCGGAACCAAAGGGGAGTAGCAGGGGTATAACACACACACACACATCATTGACACACACACACACACCCCACCCTGAAAGTTTATTAAATGACCATTGAAACACTTGTGAAAATGAACTGACAGGGCTGACCCCCATGACCTACCAGCATAACTGAAAACCAACCAGTCCTCTCAACCTTTTTCACAACCATCACAAAGTTTAACCCATCTCAGGCATTCGGGCAGTCGGCTAGTTTCAACACGAGGTATTGAATCTTAGATGATTTCAACACACAGTGGATGTATCTGCTCAGTGTAGTGATGTTTCTACATAAACCAAGCTGTACTTGATTTACAGAGGCTCAGGTGTCAGAAGGGGGCGACAACTTCAGCATGGGGCAACGTCAGGTGAGTTTCCATAGCAACCATGGCCTGATTGTAGCATTTAGATCTTGCACTGGCAACAAAATGCAACCCCATATTTATACCAACTTACACCCTGTACACGTTAATATTTTGCTGGTCAAAGAACACAGACTACATGTTGGAAACTGAACGATGAGGAACTACAGTCTTTGGACATAGGTATTCGTCAATTTCAACATTACATTTTATGTGTTTCCCCAAAGAGGTGTTTTCTCAACAAAAAATGAATGACATACCTTAATATTTAGTCAGATGACCATTCATTCTGATTACTTCTCGAACTCTAGCCGGAAATGTTTGTGGTACAATCCATGAACTGTCTCCATATCAACGTTTTGCCAGAGTCGTAGTATTTCACTGAAAAGTCCATCACGGTTTGATATTCTGTGAGCGATGGGTTGGAGGTGTTGCTTTATCATGAGCCAGATATTTCCAATGATGTTGATATCCGGGAATTGTCCTGGCCAATCTGTGGTTTTTACATCAATATCCGACATGTAGGTAGTTACCAAGCGGGCTCGATGTACCGGGGCATTGGCATCCTGGAAGACATAGTCTCTCTGTGGAAAATGCCTAGCAATAACCGGCCCCAAGTTGTCATCTATTATATCCATGTACTTCTGAGCATTAATGTTTCCTTCCACAGCAGCTAGGGTGCCCATACCACGAATACACATACAACCCCATATCATTAAAGACAGACGCCATTTAGAGGGTGGGCTGTTCATCGTCCTTATGCCACAAGTAAACACGGTTATTCATCCCAATTATTATCTGGCTTTCATCAGAAAGGATGAATTTATTCCATTTTTCATTTACAGTCCAATCCTTTCACTCCCTGCAAGTTCCTCAAACCGAGCTCTGCCTTGTGTTACTTTATGCCATACAGATGACCCATGATGACTCAGGGTGTTCCTTGGACTCATTGCAAACTGTAACTTAAAGGATTTATTTTGGTTTCAAAACCAACTGATATGAGTATTTAGTCAAACAGTTTTTAAAAAGAATATAACTTTTTTCACAGGTATTTTACTGTTGTATTTTAATATTCTGTCATAGCTACTGTGTCTCGCTCGAGCATTCCTACGAGACTCACGTGTCATCATCCTGGATGAGGCCACGGCATCAATAGATGTGGATACTGACGCCAAGCTGCAGGAGATTGTACATGAGGACGGCTTCAAGGACAAGACCATCCTTACCATTGCAGTGAGTACCCAGCCAGCAGAATGAAGATTTACCACGGACATGTCACTTGGGTTGATGGTGGGGTGGGAAATGAGCACGACCTGAGCACCCATGGGATTCATGGACCACTGACAGGTCACTTGGGTTGATGGTAGGGTGAGAATTGAGTAAGACATGGGTACCCATGGGATTCATGGACCATTTACAGGTCACTTGGGTTGATGGTAGGGTGAGAATTGAGTAAGACATGGGTACCCTTGGGATTCATGGACCATTTACAGGTCACTTGGGTTGATGGTAGGGTGAGAATTGAGTAAGACATGGGTACCCATGGGATTCATGGACCATGTACAGGTCACTTGGGTTGATGGTGGGGTGAGAATTGAGTAAGACATGGGTACCCATGGGATTCATGGACCATGTACAGGTCACTTGGGTTGATGGTAGCGTGAGAATTGAGTAAGACATGGGTACCCATGGGATTCATGGACCATGTACAGGTCACTTGGGTTGTTGGTAGGGTGGGAATTAAGTAAGACATGTGTACCCATGGGATTCATGGACCATTTACAGGTCACTTGGGTTGATGGTAGGGTGAGAATTGAGTAAGACATGGGTACCCATGGGATTCATGGACCATTTACAGGTCACTTGGGTTGATGGTAGGGTGAAAATTAAGTAAGACATGGGTACCCATGGGATTCATCGACCATGTACAGGTCGCTTGGGTTGATGGTAGGGTGAGAATTAAGTAAGACATGGGTACCCATGGGATTCATGGACCATTTACAGGTCACTTGGGTTGATGGTAGGGTGAGAATGGAGTAAGACATGTGTACCCATGGGATTCATGGACCATTTACAGGTCACTTGGGTTGATGGTAGCGTGAGAATTGAGTAAGACATGGGTACCCATGGGATTCATGGACCATGTACAGGTCACTTGGGTTGATGGTAGGGTAAGAATTGAGTAAGACATGGGTACCCATGGGATTCATGGACCATGTACAGGTCACTTGGGTTGATGGTAGGGTGAGAGTTAAGTAAGACATGGGTACCCATGGGATTCATGGACCATTTACAGGTCACTTGGGTTGATGGTAGGGTGAGAATTGAGTAAGACATGGGTACCCATGGGATTCATGGACCATGTACAGGTCACTTGGGTTGATGGTAGGGTGAGAATTGAGTAAGACATGGGTACCCATGGGATTCATGGACCATTTACAGGTCACTTGGGTTGATGGTAGGGTGAGAATTGAGTAAGACATGGGTACCCATGGGATTCATGGACCATGCACAGGTCACTTGGGTTCACTGATAAGGGGGAAATTTGGTGCATACTTCACTATCAGACCTTCACCCAAGTGATAAACGTCAAGAAATACAGACCCATTCACTAACTCTTTATATCTGGAGTTGTGTCCCTTGACTGCCAGGATCTGGTGATAGTTGTTTCAGTTCCAGATTTGCCAGGGCTTATCCATGGTAATAGCTTCTTGGTTTTAGTTTCAACATCTGTGATTTCAGTGGACCTTCCTTCCATACTATGTTGACAGACAGGGTTGAATTGAAATACATTTAACCCCAACTCGTAACAACTGACAAAATCATTTTGAATTTTTTGCCTCAATCTCTTTTCTGTTTTCTTTCAGCATCGAATGGCAACTATTGCTTGTTATGACAGAGTTATGGTCCTTGATCAAGGTAGACTGGTTGAGTTCGATAAACCAGATGTACTCAAGAAACAAGAAGACAGCTTTTATGCCTCCCTTGTGAACCAAACTAACAAGTAACCATGGCAACATCATTTGGTCTCCATAGCAACAGAGGCATCAGCTTCATGAGAATACAATGAATGATGTCTGAATTCATTAGAAATCCATCCACCGATAATGAAATGTCAAATGATTATGTATTTATGTTGGTTACCATGCCAACAGAACACTCAGCAGTGTACATGTTTACAAGATGACTTGTATTAATGGAATTCTGTACAGGCACAAAGATAATATGGACGCCCCGCTGGGACATGTAGTGTTGTAGCACTACTGTTGTTCTTGTGATCAAGACATGAAATTGTACATAAAACAAATTGATTTTGTTTACACATACCTCAAAAGCAGTCTCATACTGAATGTAGACAGACTTCCAGACGTGTTGTGATACTGATAGTCTGTGATTTGTCATCCATCCCATCATGCAATGCTAGCCCAGCCGTGTCGTGATGTTAATTTGTGACATCAGAAATCCCATCATGCAATGCCAGCTTGGCCATGTTGTTAATCTGTGACATCACCTAACCCATCATGTGGCCATGTTGTTAATCTGTGACATCACACCTATCCCATCATGACATCACTGCCATCACCTGTTCTATCATGCACTGTGACATCACCTGTTGCCATCATGTTCCCATCATGCACTGCAGCCTGTGACATCACCTCCCTACTAAGCCAGCCTATCGGCCATCATGCACTGCCAGCCTGTGACATCACCAATCCCATCATGCACTGCCAGCCTGTGACATCACCTATCCCATCATGCACTGCTAGCCTGTGACATCACCTATCCCATCATGCACTGCCAGCCTGTGACATCGCCTGTTCCATCATGCACTGCCAACCCACCTGTGTTCTTAATCTGGAATATCACCCTGACCATCATGCAATGCCACCCAAACCGTGTCGTGATGTTAATTTGTGACATCACCAATCCCATCATGCAATGCCGGCCCTGCCCAGGCCGGTCATGTTCTAAATCTGTGACATCACCCATCCCATCATGCAATGCCATCCAACAGGATATGAACTCATCTGTTGCCGACGAAAAAACAACAACAGACATGCACCATGGTGACAAATATTTGTCGGACGAAGCGATTCATCTCCATCAACATTTGAGTTTGTCTTCGTACGCAACAGTTTCCTTCTGTGACCATCGACAACATCTCTGCCACTATTTTACAGGAAGACTTGTGGATGAATCCAACAGCATTGGTCATTGAATAGGTTGGGACATCATGAGTGTCTAGGAACATGAGGTGGGAAACATGAGTGTCTGGACAGGTGGAAACCAGGACAGGTGGAAACGTGAGTGTCTAGACAGGTGGAAACATGGAGTCCAGGACAGGTGGAGGTGGAAACGTGATGAGAGTGTCCAGGACAGGTGGAAACAGGTGGAAGGTGGAAACATGAGTGTCTAGGACAGGTGGAAACGTGAGTGTCCAGGACAGGTGGAAACGGAGTGTCATGAGTGTCTAGGAGGACAGGTGGAAACGTGAGTGTCTAGGACAGGTGGAAACGTGTCCTGGAGTGTCTAGGACAGGTGGAAACATGAGTGTCTAGGACAGGTGGAAACGTGAGTGTCTAGGACGGAGGACAGGTGGAAACACGTGTCCAGGACAGGTGGAAACGTGAGTGTCTAGGACAGGTGGAAACAGGTGGGCCAGGTGGAAACGTGAGTGTCTAGGACCAGGAGGACAGGTGGAAACATGACAGGTGGAAACATGAGTGTCTAGGACAGGTGGAAACATGAGTGTCTAGGACAGGTGGAAACATGAGAGTGTCTGTCCAGGACAGGTGGAAACGAGTGTCCAGGACAGGGACAGGTGGAAACGTGAGTGTCTAGGACAGGTGGAAACGTGAGTGTCTAGGACAGGTGGAAACGTGAGTGTCCAGGACAGGTGGAAACATGAGTGTCTAGGACAGGTGGAAACGTGAGTGTCTAGGACAGGTGGAAACATGAGTGTCTAGGACAGGTGGAAACATGAGTTTCCATTGCAGTCCCAGCTTTTCTGCCACAGTCATGAGAGGGAATGTTACAGGATTGTTACAGTGATGTTACAGACTTCGCAACGTGTGCTTCAGTTGTTAGTAACAACAGTGCATAGCTGTCAAGTACTTCCTAGTGATGGGTGTGATGCAACTACAGATGTGCAGATGTGTGGTTTGTAGAGCTTGGCTTCGCATTGTGAGCTTACTTGACTCATTATTATCGACAAGAGAAGCCTATAGGCAGGGTTTCACAAAGTGATCGAAGGACATTGATTGTCATATATCCATGTAAAACTACAAGCTGCATTCACTATGTGAATCAGCACCGTGCATTCTATATATTGCATTTACACATCAGGTACTTACTGAAGCACCATTAACCGGGAATAATCGAACCGGGCCATAACAGATTGATTCATGTGATTGTAGTCACTCCTCATTTCGTATCTAGGTAGTTGTCTGACAAGCCATGGTTTACTGCTTATCTTTTTGGCACACCAGAAAACTTTGATTGTGGGTTCGAATGCCGGCTTGCCCTAAATCTTGGTTTGTCAGTACCGCGGTCCAGGGTTCCCTGAAAGAGGTCAGTGTCTGTGACTCGTCTTCAGGCTTTATTCCAATAGACTGACAGTGCATGACACAACTCGGTGAGGGGGCAGTGAAATAGCCAAGTGGTTAAAGCATTTGCTTGTCATGCCGAAGACCCGGGTTCGATTCCCCACATGGGTACAATGTGTGAAGCCCATTTCTGGTGTCCCCGGTCGTGATATTGATGGAATATTGCGAAAAGCGGCACAAAACCATACTCACTCACTCACTACAACTGGGTGATGTTCAAGGGTCATTGGAACTAAATCACTCACTCTTTAAGGTAGGTGAGTGGATACCAACACTTCTTTCATCCATCTGCATTGATGTGTACTCTCATAATGGTAGGGCAGAGGGATAGCCTAGTGGTTTAAGTGTTCGCTCACCACACAGATGACCTGGGTTCAATTCCCCACATGGGTACAATGTGTGAAGCCCATTTCTAGTGTGCTCACCATGATATTGCTAGAAATGTGTTAAAGGTGGCATAAAGCTAAACTCACTCACATAATCAAAAACCTCACTATTTCTTCATGGGCAAAGTTTTTTTCCTTAATGTAATCAGGGACAATCAATATCAGATATTAATATGATATTAATTGTCAGGCACAAAAACATCAATATGTTTTGGCCTTGTGTATGTATATTTTGTAAGCCTGACAAGGAAGACCTGTCTCAGGATATCCTGTAGTGTTAGAAACGAAGGTGTTCACCTGATAAGCTTGATGACTCAGGTCATCAGGGATGCTTCAACTAACCCTTGCACTGGAACTAACAGGTGTTTGTTGAGTCACATTCACAGATGGTATCCATGGTGATAACAGGTGCATGTAGGACCTTGTATCCATGGAAATATTTCGTTACGTCTTGATTATGATCTGGCTGGTAATTTAACAGGAACGCATTTTGGGGGAAAAATACATGTCTCAGGTGTCATCTTCTTAGTAACACTTGTTGAAATGTATCAAAGTTAGGATACTTTTGGATTGGGGCCAATGACTTTCAGCAAGTATGAGGACCTAATACACTTACACATATTGTCAAAAAATGTTTCAGTGATATGATTATGCACAGAGTAGAATTTCAAAATTCATATTTCTTGAGAATTTGTAGACTTTGCATTGTTTATCTGATTATAGGCATCTTTTCCAATTCCATTGGCCTAAAGTGGCAATAATTAGCAATAGTTTTAGAGAAACTTTCAAAATGCTGATCCATTAAACACAGCATAGTATTCAGGATAATGCCACTGACATGTTCGTCAAACATCATGGGGCATGTTTGATGTCTTTATATTACAATCATGAAATATCATGGTCTTGTTGCCATGGAAACAATGTATAGCGGTTCCGACCGATGGTGCTATGTAGAAATCCATTATTAGTAGAATTAGGAGAGTAATGGTTACTATGTAGTCTTGTAGCAGATCTATTTTTTATCAATTTTTGTCCAGATCAGACTGACTATAATGACAGAACTATTTACCTAGTTCCAATCAGCTGACTCTTAAGCTGCAAATCAGCGGATTGAGCCAAAAGTATCTACTTGTTCTATTTGCCATTTCTCCGATGCCAATTATGACAGCGGCCGTGAAGTTATATCACAAAGCATGAATATTTTGTTTTCTGTACCAAGTTTAATCTCATATTCCAGATCCTATAGAAAACCATTTTCAAATTCTGTGAAATCCTTACTTTTCCATTTCCATGTTAAGTTATCACTGTTCATGTGATTAACTGCAGACAACATACAATATCCATTTGAACTGTTTATATAAATCTGTTTTTCTAGTCATCTGTGTTCCTAAATTTCCTGTTTCTCTTTGAAGAGATTCAGTTTATCCAACATCTTTTTATAAACTAATATTATTGCTGATCACAAGAAAATAATGAACAAGCTTGAGAATATGAGAAGTTTCCCCATTTCCATATGACATGTTCTCCTCACAAGAAGTAAGAACTCATCCCTTTCCTTCAACTATGGTGAATTTGTCTGAGGCCAAATAAAACAAATGTTGTGGTTCCAATTACACCTCTAAAATTTTGGATAGGTAGGATTTATTTTTTATTTACATTTTTTTTAGAAGTAAAGAACAAACTAATACTGTAAACCTATTATATTTCGCGCAGGTTTTATTTTCGCGCAAAACATTTTAGCACAAAAATTTATACACCGCGAATAAACCTGTCATTCATTCAGTCTAGCCACGCTCGCCCCCTAGTAACCCAGTTATCAATGTGTAATTGTTTATTTCAATCAAGCTTGCGGCCATCAGGTCGACCTTCTCTATCAGAATGGCGATGTTTCTCGGTGCCAGGAAAAAACAATGGTATCTGAAAGCTTATTATATTCATACGGCTTAAAATAAAGTAGGGTCAGCGCCAGAATTCAAGGGTCGGTCAGGTAATCGGAACCACAATATCTTTTGACACGTGAAGGTCAGGGTTAGAATGAACCTTCAGTAACGCATGCATGTCGTAAGAGGCGACTAACGGGATCGGGTGGTCAGGCTCGCTGGCTTGGTTGATACATGTCATCAGTTCCCAGTTGCGTAGATCGATGCTCATGCTGTTGATCCCTGGATTGTCTGGTCCAGACTCGATTATTTACAGACCGCCGCCATATAGCTGGAATATTGCTGAGTGCGGCGTAAAACTAAACTCACTCACTCACTCACAATTTCTTTTTTAAGCTTTAGTATTAAGATTAACTATAGTAAGATGAAAGATTGGGATGATCCTTAACTTTGTTTGTGTCGTATACAAATGATTATTATATTTGTAGCAATTAACATGAATACCGTATTCCACTAACTGCACAAAACGAATTAACCAAAATGTGTGACAGTAATGATGCCACTGTCTCCGGGGTGTTGTTGATGTGTTGTTAATATGTTGTTGGAAAGTACTACAACTAGTGGGATGTAAGAGTACAACTAGTGTTACAGTAGAGATAGTGAGGGAGTAATCATTGTACTAATTTGTATCTGGCTGATTAGTAGTTGTTCTACAAGTAGCATTGTTATGTATCATTGTATGACTGTTGTATTGTGGTTGTGTTGTATAATGATGTATTGTACAAATTCATGTTTATCGTTACTATGGCAACTATGATAGTATGGACTTGATATGTAAATCATTTTCAAATGCATTTGTCCGAAGGTTCAAAGCTTGATGTCATCATGAGCCTGTAGTTGAGATAGTTCATATTTCACAATTGCAAATATTTTTCAGAAAGATCTTAGTGAGGTTTCTACAGTTAATGAAAACCTCTTTTCTTTCATGACTAATTTTTTTTTAGAAATAGGAAGAAAATAGTGTATGTAGCTAATATGTATATGTTCAACTGTTAAGCTGTCTTCCTTAGAGTGTTTTTGATCATGTATATATTTCCAGGATATCTATCTAGTCAATATCTGCTGTTGCAGTTATCTGCCCTTGGCTATAAATCAAGATTTAAAAAAAATCAAAATGTTAAATGTCTTTCAAACTGGCGCCTTGTTTACTAGATTTTATATTGTTACTCGGTAATGTCATCTCGGTAATGTCATAATCAAGATTTGCATAGATCGATGCTGTTGATCACTGGATTGTCTGGTCAGGACTCGATTATTTACAGACCACCGCCATATAGTTGGAATATTGCTGAGTGGGCTATTAAACAACCAACTAACCATAATCTAGGTATGCATTATTTGTGGAACACTGTTAATGTATTGCTCTTTATTATCCCCCACGAAGTGGGAGGGATATTAGTTTCAGCTCCGTCCAGTCTGTCCGTTCGGGATGATGGAGACAGATTGTCTCAGAAATTGTTATAGATAGGGAAACCAAATTGGATAGGTGTTTTCAGGACATAAATGCCTTGATGGAGTTCGAAAACAGAAACCGTGTTACAATTTGTTACAGAGTTATGGCCCTTGTCATGTGTTTCTTGACTTAGTGCACGGTATCCCCAATGCGACAGATTTTCTCAGAAAGCATTAAAGATAGTGAAACCAAATTTGTGTTTTCAGGACATGAATGATGTGGTGGGGTTAAAAAACAGGAACCAAATGGGAACAGAACGCGTTGATATTGATGACCATGTCTTGTTGGTTTAGGAACTGAGTGTGAAGTAATATGGTTCAAGGATGTTTCATTCTGCTGATCTTAAGTCAGCACCTCTACATGCTGAGCAGGAAGTACTAACTCTGTACTGCTAACTCTATGTGTCAAATCTTGGGACTGAGCCAAAAGTATCCACTTATTCTGTTTGCCATTTTTCCAACGCCATTTATCCTACAATTCCTGAAGTGTATTTTGTTACTGTGTTCAGTATTCATCACAGTGCCAGTTGATTGTTGAAAACAGGGCCATTGTGTTCATGTAACCAATACTTGAAATCCAACTCCAGTACTATTTATTGCTTGTCAAACTTTACCTATGTTGTGTTTGGAGTAATGTTCTAAGGAATAGTTTTTCTTTTTTCATGACATTTTAATACTTTTACATTTTTACATGTAATCTTGGATGTATTATCAGTATCCATTGGTTTTTAGTGCTATTTTGTTTTCACCTTTGAACGTGATTCATTATGTAAATATTGTTTATAGGGTCTTTCCATCTTAGGTTTAGAGTGCAGGTTGTTCCATAATAATAATAATAATAATAATATATAGCGCTGAACTCCATGCCGCACAGACAGGCTCTTATCACATACAAGATGATGGAGGTTATTACCCCACATACCCCAAGCTGCCTGTGAGATGCCAGAAGGATAATAGTCGTATGACTTATCCCACCGGGTACCCATTTTCTGCTAAACAGAGGTAATTTTGAACAAACTCTCTTGCCTAAGATAAGACCACATGTGTGCTTCGTTATGGGGCAAGACAGAAGTCCTAGAAACTCTCGGGAGTCAAGCTGCCAAACACGGTCACCCATCCAAGACTCTCCATGACCAACGTTGCTTAACTTCAACTGATTCGTGACCTGAGCTCTATGCACAGGACCACACGTCACCACACTACCATCTCGGAAGGAAGTGAAGTGGAAAACATATATAAATCCATGGCAGTGGAGTTTATCAAAAGTCTGTCTGTCATCTCAATGTTATGACACGTGTGTAACGGATACTTTATTTATCAAAACAGTGCTGTGTTTGCTGTGTATATCATGTTGAACTGGGAAGTGCTGTTTTAATGTTCTCCTTAAACTGGACACTTTGGGTCCATAAAAATGGGATAATGTTAGATGCAGTTTTTTGTATGCATATCAAATATAACAGATTTATAGATCATGAAATCCTCACTGAAAGTGATAATGAGCGTATTCTATGTTTAGAAACACATTTCTCTCACAATGAATGTAAATGTCACCTTTATAATGTCCATCCCTGCCTGTCTCACAACGTGACTTGGTCACAGTCAGTGTCCTGTTGGAGACCATCTTGATGCACACTGACACCCTACTTATACACATTTTGACATATATGTGCTCCTGATGACAGAAATTGTTAAACTAAAAAGGTTGTACAAAATGTTCAATATATTAAAATTTGACATTTTTGTCATGCATTTTGAAATTACAGGACGAACAGATTGTGTAAATCACACTGACTGTCATCAGACCAATGAAGTTTCTTTTAACAATCATAAAATCAAAACATCGGTGGTCAATCAACGTTACGATTTGTCTAGTAATTTATTAACTGATGATAGGTTCCATCGCTAAGGACAGTGTCCAGATAAACAGGGTTCTACTGTGCAGGGGTTGTGTTACAACAGGGATGATTACTGATTCTGGGATTTGTGCAATTGAAAAATACTTTATAGTTTTTTGTTACATTTTACATCAACAGAATTTATACTGCACATACTAAAAAGGACATTTTGTGTGAGGTCAAGGTTGATGTTCATGTATCTTCGGTATATGGAAAAACCTTTTCAAGTACACACTGATTTTTTTTTTCACAATAACCACAGGGCGCTGGGATAGTCTAGAGGTTAAAGCGTTTGTTAGTCACGCCGAAGACCCGGGATCGATTCCCCACATGGGTACAATGTGTGAAGCCCATTTCTGGTGTCCCTGCCGTGATATTGCTGGAATATAGCTAAAAGTGGCGTAAAACTAAACTCACTCACAATAACCACAGATTTATAAGTGCCATGATGCTAATGGGGTCACAGTTGGCAGTAGGAAATATGTGTTTTAATGACACAGATTTGAGGTGTATGTCGTGGAAGGTGCAGCTTATCAGTGATCAGGGTTTGTTGTTTCCATGACAATAGGAAAGTACCATTTCAGTGCAAAGCATAATTTTATAGTTTTTGCTCCAGTATTTACATGTTTGTTATATTTACCAGTCACCAGCTGACATTACCAGCCATTATTGTTCAGTGTATTCAGTTGATGTTGAAAGATGTGGGTCTGGCTTATTATCAACATAGATCAGAGAGATTTATAATCATTTACTGAATATCGTTAAATTATTATCAATAAATATCAGAGAAATGTTTGAGCAAAAAACTGCAAAAATAGTCTGTAAGAAATCAACATATTTCACATCACTGGTATATCCCTCAGTAGGAAGATGTGGCAACATATCTGGATGTCGGAAGGTCTATACTGTAAGGCTTTCATGATATCAATACCAGAGGAGGGCTTTGTAACATAATGTCTCAACCATGGAAGATAGGATTACATAGCATCTCTACTTGAGGAATGTGAGACATAACACAAAATATCTCTGTGAGCAGGTGTGGTAGAATATGTGATAGGCAATATCTCATTGTGATAAGACATAACATTAATATCTCTTTGGGAAGGTAGCATAATATCTCTGCCTGGTGAACATTTGTTAGCATAATTCTTTCTCTTGGAAGACATGGCAACTTAAGTCATCTCTTTATTGCCAGACTAGCCCCTCCTTTTCATATATCGTTGAATGTTAATTTTTCTGATCACGTTTACATGAAATCATTTTCAATCCGACCATGTGCCTTCTTTCATCAGTACATTGTATAGGCAAGGATATGTAGCTTAGAGGTCATGTAGCTGTGATTTCATCACTTTATAGAATTGTGTGAAGAGGTAATATAGGAGTGATGGCATCACATGGTAGAGGTAATACAGGGTGATGACATCACATGGTAGAGGTAATATAGGAGTGATGACATCACCTGGTAGAGGTAATATAGGAGTGATGTCATCACTTGGTAGAGGTAATATAGGAGTGATGTCATCTCCTGGTAGAGGTAATATAGGAGTGATGTCATCACTTGGTAGAGGTAATATAGGAGTGATGTCATCACTTGGTAGAGGTAATATAGGAGTGATGTCATCACTTGGTAGAGGTAATACAGGGTGATGTCATCACTTGGGAGACGTAATATAGGAGTGATGTCATCACTTGGTAGAGGTAATATCAGAGTGATGTCATCACTTGGTAGAGGCAATATAGATGTGATGCCATCACTTACCGGTAATATCAGAGTGATGTCATCACTTGGTAGAGGTAATGTAGGAGTGATGTCATCACTTGGGAGACGTAATATAGGAGTGATGTCATCACTTGGTAGAGGTAATATCAGAGTGATGTCATCACTTGGTAGAGGCAACTTTAGGATGATTTAGCTTTTTGTATAGGTAAAACCATACATTAATGAAACTCCATGCTAGGATCTGCTGTCAGAAGTATGAGAGTTGTACATAAAGTGGACAGTTATTATCATAGATATTTCTTCAAACTCCATTTTGTAGAACTATGAGCCTTGACCAGTAGCAACTCTCCCCTTTCTCACTTCCCTACGTTCCCCCTCTCCCTCACATGCCCCATGTCAGTACATTCCTAGTTGAGCTAGAATGCTATTACATCGATGGCCTTCACTACACCCATTAAAGATTTGTTTGCTCAGTGTTGTGTATGTCACAGTAGGTCTTGTCATTTCTGTTTTCTTGTGTTACCTACCATTGTGTCATACTGTGTTACATGTTGTGTTACCCTCACAATACCATATGTTGCAGAACCCGTGAAGGTCCGGGTTAGAATTGATCTTCAGTAAACCATACTTGTCTTAAGAGGCGACTAACAGGATCGGGTGGTCAGGCTTGCTGGCTTGGTTGACACATGTCATCGTATTCCAATTGCGTAGATCGATGATCACTGGATTGTCTGGTCCAGACCGATAAGTTACAGACTGTTGCCATACTGCGGGAATATTGCCGAGTACTGCGTTAAACAACAATCAATCAATCAATGCTGCCATGTTACCATTTGTTGCAGTACAGTGTTACCCTGTTTTGCCACGTAGTACTATATGTTACCTGTGACAACTTTCTAGTCCATTACCTGAATCTCCATTCTGGCCATCAGTATTTGTGGTTGAAGACAATCACCAGGTATTGGACAAACATCTCCCTAAAGGCAAACCCTTCCACTCTATACTGGTTGAACCAAATAACAATATCACACACTCCAGTCCTCTAAACACTGGGGGCCACAGATCATGTCAAAGTAGCATCTTTCACCTTATATTTGGTCCAATTATGAGTGAGTAAGTCATATCAATCAGTCCTGTTGGGACATCTTTTCCTCACTTTGACCTCAAACTCACCTGAAACTGGAAGAGGATGAAGGTGTAGACCAAGAACTAGATATGGGACCGACCCATGAAGATCAGGGTTAGAATTGATCTTCAGTGACATATGCTTGTCGTAAGAGGCTACTAATGGGATCGGATAGTCAGGCACGCTGATTTGGTTGACCCATATGTCATTGTATCCCAATTACGTAGATCGATGCTCATGCTTTTGATCACAGGATTGTCTGGTCCAGACACAATTATTTACAGACCCCAGCTATATAGCTGGAATATTTCTGAGTGCGGCGTACAACTAAACTCACTCACTCATATGTGGGACCTGATGACATTCTCTGTGGTGCAGGGGCGGTGGGGTAGCCTAGTGGTTACAGCAATCACTCGTTACACTGAAGACCCTGGTTCAATTCCCCACATGGGTACTGTATGTGAAGCCCATTTCAAGTATTTCCCGCTGTGATATTGCTGGAATATTGCTATAAGTGGCATAAAACCATACTCACTCACTCACTCAGTGGTGCAGTGCTAATCCAGGAGAAAGTGCAATAGACAGACTTATGATACTCTTGAGAAATTTAATGACAGTAAACCCTTGTTTTTATTATTGTCCCGTTATTTGTGTTGTTATGCTCTAGTTGTTGTTCTGGCGAAACCATGAAGAGCCCTTTTTATTGACTGCGACATGCAATCTGCCAATGTCTTTGACGATGATGTCCCATACAAATGCTCACCGTACACAATCACCTGACACATCTTATTTTCATATTTATTGTCTAAATGTAAAAAGCAGCTGACAGATCACATTTTATGTAGCACTATGAACTTAGGACTCATCAAGATATTCTTATGATTACCATAATCAGAAGGGGTCCAAAGCTGCTGTAGCTTGCCTAAGAAATTAGATTAGTGATGAGGCTCTATTGGACTAATTACATATTCTGTTTTACATAAATGTAGACATGTGCTCATGTTTTCAATCACTGGATTTTGTGGGCCTGACTCAATTATGAACATGACCATGACGTAGCTGAAATAGTTCTGACAGCAAAATGGGCGGTTGGGGTAGCCTAGTGGTTAAAGCGTTTGCTTTCGGGGTCCTGCTGTGATATTGCTTAAGGCTTACTCACTCTGACAGCAAAGTTCAGCTTGAACTATATTTCTGATACTTCAGTCATTCATCACAAGTGGATTC